CACACACACACACACACACACACACACATTTTCGGTTACCTTCTTTCTTCCCTCCTACTAACTCCCAACTTACTGCACTCTTTCCTCCTCACTCTCTCCCTCAAATCGAGGTATTCCATGTTCCTTTCCTTGCCCATTGTATGCCTCCTCCTCTCCCTCCCTTCCACGCACACTTTCCTTTTCCCTTGATAGTTTCCCCCCCCTGCGCCTCCTCCCCTTCTGCACGGATCCACCCAGGCGTGGAGGCGCGGCACTGTGCGCGCCAAGCTTTTCCGAAACGCCAGTGGCGTTCTGTTCTTTTTTTTTTCTGGAAAACATGTAAATAAAAATTGGACCAATTGGTCCATTTCTCGATTTATTTGTGTCATCCTTGTGCAGGGGCCATGCTAATCTTCTCTCTCTGTATCGTTCCAATTTTAACGGACGGCATTCTGGTCTGTTAGGTCTGAGCCAAGAGTTTTTCGGAGTAGGCGAGGAACAAATTTCTGCTAGGGTGAAGCTGTGTACTGGTGGTTTAAGTCGTCAGTAAAGGCATACACACGCGAGCACTTTCCTACATGTAGCTGACCTCAATGACGGCCAGACCTGGATGAATCTGGCGGCGATCACGTCCAGAGCTTAGCCGAAAGAGTCATAGGATGAGTATGCCCTAAGGGATTGAGCATACTGTCAAAGGTTCAGCAAGCATATCTTCTGTGTCCCACATGACATACAATCAAGGGATAGACGATGACAGGTGGAAACTGGAGAGAGTGGGTGGAATCATCGGTATATTACAAGTGTATGCATACATGCTTACCTCATCAAAGCTGCCCTTAAACATCAAATCCAACGGGGGTCTATACATCTCTGCGAGATTCTTCGGCCCCATTCCCACTCCCGCTGCCCCCACACCACCTTCCTCACCATCACCATGTCCCTGTCCCTGTCCCTGTCCCGGTGCCTGTCCCAGTCCATTGGTTTCGTCCCTGAAGTTGCGAAAGGGATCAATAGATGTACTTTCTGCCATCAACTGCGCTGATCTCCACTGCCAAGGCCAGACACGGCAAAAACGCCTCCCCTCCCCCACAATCCAAAAGAAAGGGGCCGGGGGAGGGGGGGGGCAGGAGGGAACAACAACAACAGAAAAGCAAAAGCAATGACAAACACCCCAACAAGTACGATGTCCCGATTAGTTCACCATCCCAAGCAAACACAAGGAGGGGTGAAAGGGCGAGGGGGGGGGAGGAGGATGGAGCAGGGCCGGTGGGGGGGAGGACAAACGGCAGATTCCCACAAATAATGCAAAATATGCTCGGGAAAAAGAGAAGGAGGAAAAA